GTGGTTTGCATACTATCTTGACCCGGCCCAAACCCAACGGGCTGGGTTGCAAAACCTGAAAAACCCGGCCCAACCCGCGGGCCTAACAAGTCTACGCCACACTAAGCGAAATCCTGATATGAATCTATACGAGACCACGTGATCCTAGCGGCTTGGCCGGATCACCAACTCTTGAGCCCCTGAAGGCTTTACCCATTAGGAGTTGAAGAAGAAGCGCTTAAGATAGTTGATATAGTCGTCCATAGAATTGAGATCTATCGGAATGGCATCCGGTCCTCAGTAGGCTACGTACGTGTAGCTGATACAGCGTCATCCTGCCCATCTTTCCCCTGAGATCACAACAGTAACCCATACAGTAGCCGCAACCTTCCACAAAGTCTGTCACACACAGCACAGGTCTAATTGATTTTGATGGTGCATTGGTTTGCCTGATGTAACTCGCCCTAAGTACATGCCGGAGTCTCGAATCAAAGAATTTCACCCCCCGATCTTGGTCTGATGAACAACGCATCGGCTGAGATCGCGTCAATCCATTTCCCGCATGGTCCAGTAATCTGAAGAGACCCCTTCAAATATATTTTCCCACCATCAATTTTGACTGGCCAGGCACGTAGTCTTACTTGCGCTGTTGGAGGAACAGGTCGTTTGAAAGACGTGTTGAGATAAGCTGTAAATGCAGGTTCGTCGGCCGTTGGCTTGCAGCAGTCGGCAAGGATATGATCCATCAAAAAAGCGCTGTATCCTCCAAAGAGCTTGTCCGGGTAGTAACAAATTTGCTGTTCAGGGCTGAGTTCTAGCAAGGATTCAACTTCGCAACCTAAGGGATGGCTTTTGAAGACCGGGTGATAACCAATGAAGAGTAAACGCATGGTCGTGTCATAGGATTTCTCAAGGGCTGTCGGTCGTAACTTCTCATGGTTAGCATGATTCTGCAGAAACACATTTTCGTGGTCTTACAGTTCCGCTCGCTGGTGGTTCATTGCTGAGGCTTCCGCTCTGTGATGCATATGGCTCCGTGAGGCAATGATACCCACGACAGGAGCGGACAAAGAGTGATGTTAAGAAGCGAGATTCAAGTTTCCAAAACATGATCACAAAATGTGAGGCAGTGAAGATAATTGACATTTGCGAGTTGAAAACACTCCTCTGCAAGCTTTATAATACGCGGGAATGGAAGACCTGCTATTTCCGCTGGTGATGGAGCTTGGAAAAGTAGCGAAATATTGGGCGGTTGCCTCATGGAGCTTTGTTCTTAGCGACTTTGCTGTTCGCAAAATTACGGTAGAAGCAGCATCGCGATTTTTTAACCGGATCCTTGCGTTTCACCGGGACTTATCTCCGCCCTCTTTTTGTGCAGTGACTTTTCGAGACTATTCAATATCTACATATGTGTTCGAATCCTGCATCTGGCTTAGAAATTAGAAGCTAGTCTACATTCGTGAATGGTGGTTGAGCTGAGTTTCCTGAATATGATCGACTTCTTAATTTTTCTGGTGCCCTTTTCTTCCTAGGTCTTCACGTTAGGGTGAGATGGTTGAAATAGGGGGGCGGTGGAAAGAAGAGGGAGGTCAAGTGCTGAAAGCAAGCGCCATGAAAGTCCCTTTTGGCGACCAGTCCGGAGGGTTGCAAGCTCTACACGTCCAATAACTGTGCTGAATGCTCTATGCCTCCTAGCACTGAAAGCCCGAATGTGCATACTCTAGATAGCTCGATATGTCGATTTCTCTATACCATTTACTGCCTGAAATTCGGAGATGTGCCGTATGAAAGGGTCTGTAGATACTGCCCAGTGGACCTAAAGACGGGATTTCAGAATGATCTAGATGGTGCTTCAGATACAGTACAGCTCGCTGGTACTGGCGAATTTTTTTTCGATCCACACCGACAAAGCATCTTGATCGGTGAAGAGGGTTTAAGGATAGCCTCTGCCTCCACTGCCTTCAATTCTTCCTTAGCAGGCATTCTTGCCCAAAACACTGTTCCTAGTTTATTTCACGTAGTCACACAAGTTTCAAGGTTCCAATTTGATGACGCACCCCAGACAAGCCTATAATCTTTTGAATGTGTGGAGACCCGGATTCCCATAATGTAGGAGAAGCCACACTGCGCCAATCTAAAACAGTATTGCATTATGTATCCTAGAAGTTCGAGCCTCCTTCAGCTGGATAAATGCCTGCGTAGGTGGCAGCGGGATTACTCCTCGAGATTGAAATACGTGCAGATGGGCTTCAAGGCTCTCAACGCTGGACACATTAGGCAGAGCTGCACAAAGTGGACCTAAAGCGACCAACAGGTATGACTTGTGACTGGGAACCTAAATATCAATTCAACGAGTCCTAATGGCCAAAAACCATGGGTTTCGAGCCTTTACATAGTGTAAGGCTTTAAGAAAAGCATTTATCTGGAAGGAAAACCAGCCTTCAGATTGTCATACTCGGAAATGGGATAGCTCAGCTCGTTGTGGCTCTGGTCAAGGGCTCCTACCCCACCAAATGAGCTAACAACCTTCAATGATTTGGTTATTCAGAGACGTCAAGCGGTGGTCAGATAGGCTGAAGCTCGTACCGTCGTGGTCAAGCTGTCAGATCCATTCTTGGCACTACTGCTTTCCCACCACATCCCACCACCGAGGCCCTTTGACATGATGTACTCAGCCTTCTTCAGGGCAACCTGAGGAGTATCGTAGCTAATCATCATTCGACGAGAGGTGTCATAACTATAGCTAGCAACTGTCTGGTTCAGATAGTTGACAGACGCACCAGACAGAGGCAGCGCCTTGTAGTCCCACACTCCGTTCTCCCAGCTGCTGCTGCCCACTCCATTGAAGGGCTGGCCTGGCCCGTCTGTGTTCATGAATGAGCGACCATAAAGTGGCATGCCCATCACAATTTTGTTCGCCGGAACTCCGTGGGAAATGTAATAACTAATGGCTTGATCCGTGTTGAAGGGTGTACTGGCAGCGTTGTCGGTAGACGCGTAGATATTAGTATCGTGTCCTGCGGCGGTGTCCCAGCTGCCGGAGTAGTCATAGGTCATGAGGTTCCAAAAGTCTAGGTACTGGTTCATTTGTGAGAGATGCAACTCCTGGTAGTTGGATGGCCCTGTCCAGGAGTCAGCAAAACCAACAGACGTTTACTGGTAATCTGACTTACCAGCAGGGGATGCGACGGTGATCAAGAAGTGGTGACCATTCACGTGGGCTGAGCTGTAAGCATCCAAAGACTATACCGCCATTAGTAAGGTATAATAATGCTGGGATTCCTATGAGGGCTCGTACGGAGCGCAGCTCTTGAAGCGTTGCCACCATGTTGTCGGCCTGCACGCTATTGGCAGGATACTGAGGGTCATTAATATATTTCTTACAGAAGGAACAGTTTGAACAATGCATAATTCCCAATCGATGTCAATTCCATCGAAGCCCAGATTTTGCAACAGGGTCGTTGCAGAAGAGGCAAATGTTGTTCTGCCCGAAGCTGTGCCAAGAGGACTGGCAAAGTTGCTTGAGTATGTCCAGCCACCAATAGATAGAAGAATTTTCAAACTTCGATTTTTTTTCTTCAGCATGAACAGTTGCTTGATGCATCCATAAATATTGTTTCCGGTGTCACTCCAGGAGTCCCCAGGGTAATGCTTCTCGATATCAGCCCATGAATCTGACATGTATACTTCCCCAGTGTCCGGGTGTATGTTGGCAAAAGCGTATAGAACATGCGTTAATCTCTCGGCAGGGAGATCCATAGGATTAAAGCCGCGGCCATAAATAGCCTGTCACGGTAGTTTTCAGTAAACTTGTTTGTGTATGGTAATAGGGGGTTTCCGTCGTTGGACTAACCCAATTGACAAAATAGGCAACGGAGCGATATCCGGTTATATCGCGAGTACCTAGTGATGTGCCATTGTACTTGGAAGTGGTGGGAGTTGCGTCAGTGAGCCAACCGAATAGAAGCAAAAAAAAAGAAAGTTTCATACCGATGAATGTTCGCGCAGTCAATTCTGGGGCATTAAAATTATAGAGCGTATAACAGACAGATGGAGAGTGACAGTAGTATATTGCTAACTATCCCAGTCCTGACCTCGATACCTCGAGCTGAAGGCCAACGAGAGTAACTTATACTCCAATGATTCTATCCCATCACCGCTCTAGGGCCATCATTTTACAGTAGTTAACTGAGGGCTGTGGTATTTCTGAGGTGGCTGCAGTGTTTGCAGGTAAGTAACGTATGACCGGCATGGACTTATTCACAAGGTCGTCACCGACCTTAAAAAAAACGTCTATCACTCTTACCCAGCTTTAGCAGCATTACAATCTTTACAGCCTTAAAGTTCTGCGGAAAGCAGTCTTCTTGTAGGCAGTGACAGTAAAGTAGAGTAATTAAATTACCTAGAATAGGCCAGAGCTCTCTTCAAGCTGTAGTAGCAAGCTTATCCTTCTCTAAAGCAGATAGAGCAGGGATATAGAGAGCAGCCTAGTAGTCTTTCTTAGATAGTAGATCTAGCAGATCTAAAAACTTAATAGAAGAATTCTTTTTCTGCTAATCTGGAAAAGAGACTTCCTTTTCTAGAATATATAAGAGAAAGGCCTTTACCTTGCCTTATAGAGTAATAATCTGGGAGCCCTGGATATTTAAGAAAAAAGCAGTAAGCTAGTCTAAATACTTGTATTACTTTATAAGTAAAAAGATATCTATAGATAATATAGCTTAATTAATCTACTTCTTCTAATAGTTAGCTTTCGCGTGGGAGACTGCTTTTTAAAGTAAAATATAGTCTAGGATATATTACTGCTATGTTTATTGTAGCAGGATTATAAGTTCTGGAGTCTACTAAGGGATTTATAGAAGTTTATAGATATTATATTCTGATACACTATAAATTACTAGCTAAGCTCTACTAATAAGCTTCTCTGCCAGTGTATTAATAGGGAGACTTGGAAGTAATAGAATTAGAATAGCTTTAGTCTTCTTCCAATTTATGGTGTCTAGTTTTGGGCGGGATAGGGACTTCTCCTAGTCTACTGTTATTAAGATAGTTATATAATTACTTGAGATACTTAGGTAGTCTTTAACTATAGCTCTTATAGACAGATTTAAGAAAACCAGGGTTAGGATATTATATCTATAGATAGAAGTACCTGGCTTAAGATAAGTTATTAGCTTATAGAATTTAAGCCACTCTATTAAACCTGTTAAACCAGCTATAATTAATTATAGCTTTACATCAGGCTACTAGAGAGAATAGTGGGTATTAAAATTTCCTGCTAGAATAGTATTCTGTAGAGAAGAGTATTAGAGTAGTATATAAAGAGTTAATTATATTAATCCAGATTAGACTGGAATAACTGGATTATATAGATGGCAGTATACATTAATAATAGTAAGCCCTGCTGTATAGACAGCTGTAATGTCCAGTGAGACAGGCTGAGAGAGTGAGTATACTGGGAGGTCCTGATGTATATATATTAGGGCCCTATATCTGGTCTCCCAGCGTGTAGCGGGACTAAAGAGCTGGTAGCAGGGATATATTTTTATTTAGTGCTTTGTTATATCTGTCTAGGATTCCTGAACAAGGCTTAAATAATAGCAGTAGATTATAGGTGGCACTGTCTTTTCTAATGTTAGCCTGAACTATTCTTATAGTTCTGGCTGAGAGAGGACTTGGCTAGCAAGTGCTTACAGGAGCTGGCTTGATAGCTGGTTTAGTGACTAGATTAGTGGCCGGCCTGGTAGTTGGCCAGAAGTGTGCAGGCTAGTAAATTAATCAGCAGAAGCCTGTTTAATTTGTTGCTGTTGAAAGGCAAGCCGGCCGGCTTTATAAACAGCAGCTAGAGTATCTTTAGAGAGGCAGGTAATAATGCCCTTTTATATATGTGGCCTAGCAGGATACTTCTGATAGTCTACTGCATGAGATCCGGAGTAATTAATATATTGGATACAGCAGACATGGTCTTGCTTAGAGAATCTACAGAAGATATAATGCTTGCTAAAGCAGCAGGCCTGGGAATTATGGAAGCAGTGACAGTAGAAGCGCTGAAGAGGCTTTTACTTAAAATAGATTAGCCTAGATAGGCTAGAGAAGCCAAAGAGTTATAGGACATGGTATAGCTTCTTTAGAAAAGCTATAACTACAGTAATAGAGCTCTTCTCTATAGAGTATTTAGAAAGCTTGGTTAAGAGAGACTTGATACCAGAGGCTTGTTCTGTCTTTATACTGATATTATTAATTATAGTGTCTGTCTATCTATTCAGGGTGTCCAGAGTTGCCGCGGGATCTGGGGGATAATGACTTAGTAGTACTCTATTATAGCTTTAAAGAATCTATCTCTGGCTAGCTTCTTAGCCTGTATAGAGAGTAGAAAGGCCCTGTCTTCTGTAATAGAGATAGCAAAGCCTGTAGATACAGTCTGTATCTACTTAATCCTGCCTAGGATTTGCTCTAAAAGAGTAACATGAATACTGTGTGGTCTAATAGTATAGAGGCTAGAGAAGATTAGTAGCTAAAGAAAGATACAGAAATCTGTTTTCCTTGGCTATTATAGCTTCTGTTATACTGGTTACTGTTTAGTTAGTATATAGTGTTTGTAGGTGATGGTTTGCCAGTTATCTAGCTATTAGTAGGTACTGCTAGTGAGGCCCAGAATAGTACCTGTATAGCCTAGCTGGCTAGAGAGGCTTGCTTTATTTACTTTACTGATATAGGCTGCCTAGTTAGCAGGAAAGATGTTGCTGTAGGCTTTAATAGTCCTTACTGGAGGAAATCCTGCTTAGCTAGTGTAATAAACCTAGCTACCAGATTCCAGGCAAGTTCCTTTAGGCAGCCTTATAAAGAGAAGACAGTTAAATTAAGTGCCTCTATAAGAGAAGATAGTACTAGCTTCCAGTCACTGAAGAGAAGGACTGTTGCGATTTGTTCCTTTCTGACTTTCTGCCTACCTTGCTGTACCGCCCCTTTCACCGCTTTGTATGTAGAACTTAGCAGCATCCTGCTCCTGCAGCTTAAGAGAATCAACCTTTCCACACCATAATCAGAAGCACCCAACAATGAGCTGGTCATTAGTAACTGCATTAATCTATTGACATATAGACAGGGAGAAAGCCCTGTTAGATATAAGGGCAGGAAGCGCTGTAGGTGTCTTCTGAGGGAAGAATAAGGCTCTCTGCTTTAGGGAAATACAGGGAAGGGGGATAGGGGTGGTGGGCCCTTGGGCGGGGTCAGTGTTTTCAGGAACGGGTGGAGTCCCCGGAGGCGCACCCTCCGCAGGAGGGTCATCCACCTCCATCAGGAGGAGGAAGCTAGCGATCAGAGTAGGCAATGTAGGTCAGATAGGTGGTATTAGGGGTCTTTCTATTCCGCTCGAGATGGTTGAAGCCTTCAGGGGCTGAGAGCCGGTGATCCGGCCAAGCCACTAGGCGATCACGTGTCTCGTATAGATTCACAACAGTATTTATCTAGAAAAGCCACAACAGGGCTGAATATCTTTTGGCCTTCAGCAGCTCTAGTAACAGCCGCGGTAGTTGACTTCAGCAAGGCAGCCTGTAGAGGATCATCTGGTGGAGAATAGGGTCTTGCCATTGCAATGACACCGCGACGCGTCGTGACGCGCGTCGGATACTGCCCGAGCAGCGTCAACGGGGGTTGATAGATGTCCAATAAGCAGTAGATGTAGCAATATACTTAGATCTGATCTAAGCACCGTGCTTAGAATGGAAAGACCTAACAAAAAGTCCTGTATTGGTTTCTGAAGCTATTGGGGTGCGGTAAGGATTTTACCGCAGCGGGTGGCATGTGACCACACTTGCTATTATATCAACCGCAGGAGCTGTAAGGTGCGCGTAATATATATAGCCTAAGGCATGCAATACTGTTTTGATACTATTCTCCTGAAAGAACCTTAGTAATCTTCAATATGCAGGTTTGTGCTCAATTTATACCAAATTTATGTGCCTTAGTACTCTAAACCTACGCCTTATAAAAATGTGCCTTCTATATCTGTTGTGATTTCAGGGAAAGATAGCATTAAAAGGAGACAAGACGTAAATTGTGCAGTATCTTGCCTGGATAGATACAGGAAGAAGGAGAGATTCTCAGCGCACGCTTGCCAAGGCGCTAGCTACACACCAGCTATACACCATGTCTTCAACAATATCTTTGGGTGTTAGTTTTGATCCCATTCTCTTTCCTTTTGTGATGTCGAAATGCCTTATCGCACAACTTATGTACAATACTATATACATAAGCCTTTCAAGGCGCAAATTGCACGCATAACTGTTCTATGAACAAGAAGCGAACCGACTCGAACTCTGATTATTGCGGTATATTGGCAAATAGAACAAGGAAAAGTAAATTGGAGGTATTGGACCCTGTCTTTTCTTCTATTGCTGCCTAAAATTCTTATCTAGGCTCATGTAAAGTTCTCGAGTGCTATTTTTATCTACTTCGGTATAAGCAGCCAGCGACAGAGCCCTATTTCGTGACACTGACAGCTGTTTTAGGGTGACTGGTATTATATGCTCGCTCGTATATTCCTAATAGTGCGAAAGGCAAAACCATAAATCCGACGAGCACGGGCACGCCTAGTCTAAATTTCGGGAGGCTGCGTTTGGTTTAAGAAATAGCTTTTCATAAACACAAAGGTGTATCTGTGACACCGAAACTTTGAATACATGAGACGCAATTGCCGAGTCGACACTTTTTGCTAATCCCTTATTGCCCGCTAACTGCTCTATATCTAATACACATGGTAAAACATTACCGGCGCGTAAGATCAAGGTGATTGCGGGTGGCGAGCGGCCGCGAAGTATCTAGCCGCTACTGGTAACTCCGAAGGAAACAAATTATCGCACCGATTATTCTTCCAATAGGAGAACATACCCTTGCAAGCAAGGTGCGGCCATGGCCTGCCCCACTACTACTAAGCAAAGACCAGAAAGTAAAACCTTAGCAGGGACCTTGAACCTTCATCGCTTGTATCCTCCACCAAAAGGGTCTTTATGGTTGATACATTGCTATACATAGAATCTTTGATGCTTACCAGCATTTTATTACTGCTAGTACTTTTTAGTTACAATTCCCTTCTCGTTCGTCTTACTTTCATTAGAGGGGTGAAAGGCTGTCTTGCCCTCTAGCTGCTGGTCGGCAGTTAATGTACTGAGCCGAGCGAAGATACTTCTTTTGACTAGTGTAGAGCGGCCCATCCAGTCGCTTGCCGGTCCATAGGTAATAATACGGATATTCAGCCTAGATCCCTCCATACCGTTAGATTATTTTCTTGACATTCCATCGCGTCTTGTATTTAGTCTTTAGTTTCGTCAGCTTTAAGCCTTACCTCAACTGCCTTCTAGGATAAATGGTTCTTTTCACACACCTGGGAGCTCATCATCCTCAGCACTTAGGGGCCCGTTTTTCCCAGTAAAGCATACAGGGTGTATCTCTTCTTCATCCTTCCCCAGGTGATCAGGCTTGCTAGGTGCCTGGATCCAAAGTTTCCGATTAGGTCATATCAGCGCCCCGTGTTATCCTGGGAAAAGGATGGGCCAACAACATAATGACGATGTGATTCGGAGGTACGTACAACAATCTCTACAGAGACTGGGTGGACTTTTATGTCCGATGTCATTTGATTTTGCACGCTGGAGTTGTACGGTATCAAATGTGGCCCCTATTGCGACCCGTCTTGTTACCTGAGACTCGGCAATTAAGCATGCTTAACCCTGTTTCCCTCGGCTAGTAGGCTAACTTCATAATCGACGTAGGAAATTGGTGATTATAGGAGATGGTGCTTGTGGGAAATCAAGTCTTCTGAGTGTCTTCACCCTGGGCTACTTCCCAACTGTAAGTACCACCTTTATTGTATTCCTACTTATAAAGGCCGCAAAGGATACACAGTCTGACGGATAGCTTGTTGGTAGCATTATGTCTGTAACTATACATATTCCATACCATGGCTGCTGCCTAGTGCATGGCCTGACTGATGCGTGTGTTAACCAGGTCCCAACAATCTTCGAAAATTATGTAACGGATTGTATAGTTGATGGCCATTCGGTGCAATTAGCACTGTGGGATACGGCCGGTCAAGAAGATTATGAGCGGCTGCGTCCATTGACATATTCGAAGGCACATGTGATTCTGATTGGATTCTCGCTGGATACACCGGATTCTTTGAAGAACGTGAAAAATAAAGTTTGTTGTCTCATCACCCCTGACCCCAGCTGGCGTGCCGGCTCTGGCTTGCTGACTTTAAACGTAGTGGATTGATGAGGCCAACGAACGGTGCCCAGGTGTGCCAATAATCCTGGTTGGCCTGAAGAAAGATCTCCGGGCAGGCCCGCTTACAAACGAAGAGACGGAGAAAGAGCCGCTAAAGTACGTGACGCCGAAGGAAGGAAGCAATATGTCGATACAAGTTGGGGCCAGGAAGTATCTTGAGTGCTCGTCCTTGACAGGAGAGGGTGTTGACCATGTCTTTGAAGCCGCCACTCGCGCTGCTCTTCTCACACTCGATAGGCGGGAAAGCTCATGCTGCATTGTGCTATGACGAAACACTCATGTCTTCTGCTATATATATCAAGTGTTGGAATTCGAGATGCCGGTCTGCGAGCAGTAATTTAGCTCTGCCTATCCTAACAATGCCGTGTCTCTATGCAAGTTATAAAAACACAGATAACATGAAACCTACATAAATCTCCACTGAGGATAGTCGTCGGCTTCGTCTACGTCACAAAAGCCTCCTTGAAGTGGTTTTACACAGAGCCGACTCCAGTGCCATCTAGTATGCGGCTTGGTGGTTTAAGACCTGTTGAGTAGGGGATGATTTGCTTAGCTCTCTGTTTTCTTTCAGCTAACTGATAGTGGTATTGATCAATTCGTACGTGGTAAGCATCCGAGCATTTAGGAGGCTCAGTTGCACTTCCCGGTTTTTCCTCAAGTTGACATGGACCACCTGTAGCATTAATATCTTTGGATAGGTTATTTCCTTGCCTTCAATCCCTTATCCTGTCGATTCCTTCCACCCACCGTGGGTATTGTTGGTCAGATACTTGGTATGTTCCTCCACACGCACCGCACTTTTCTTGGGTTTCTGTACATTCGCGTTTTTGGTGTGGCTTAGCAGACTTTTCGTGCATCGTTTGGCTTCGTAGCGCGCTTGAAATTGTCCATCGCTCTGACAATTGCGGCGTTGCATTGGTTGCTGTATATAGCGGTACTCGGATGTAAATGAGATATCTCCGGATATCTGAACAAACTTATGATAGAACAGCCTGGTCATGTCACTTTCCTGAGAGAGGAATGTTACCATTGATACATGAGCGTTTGGCCCGCTGAGCCAATGGATCCTTCTTGTTTCTGCATTGTTTTCTCTTTAAAGATGTTGTAGAAGCCTCTCTCATACCACTTTCTTTACTAATTACATCTGTATTTCGTACGCTGTTGATCTTGATAGGGAACCATGGTTCACCATTTAGTCTCGCCCCTTCAAAGGCTTCAAGCTATTCCTAGTGTTCCATACTTGGTGGACATCATCTTGACTAGCGAGATATAGTTTGGCATTTGAAGGGTGCCTATAAACATTTTGCTTCATCGCGAATGAGACTTGAAATGGAGAATTTGAACGCAATTACTATAGTGTATTTACTGCTTCCGAACGTATGAAAGCCGCTTTTGACAAGTAGAGGAATTACACGTATTCTATATTGCTACTTTCCAATCTGGATTACATCGCGCATGTTCCCTCCTTTAATCTCAGTGCAGGTCTTATATTAAATACACTTTGATTATACTTCTATCGCTCGCCTTGCTTAGCTGTGCCATCTGTAGGCAGACATCAATACAGGCGGCCCGCCCGGCCTGAGGTCTGGCTATGTGGAGTGTGGGGTGGAGCGCAGACTAACTCAATATGAGCCTCCAGAAATGAGAAACTAGTGCAGGATGATTCTTACCACTAGCGCCACGGAGGCTTCGCCGGAAGATAAACTTTTTACTAGAAACTGTGGTACAGCTCCGAAGGCCGAATCGCTCTCGGCATTCGCGCCATCCTTTCTTTTACGGCCCCGAACTTCTTTCCCTTTTCTACTTACGCCAACATAATTTCCCTACCCTTCGGCTAACCCGCATACTCGCCATCACTTTATCGCCCATAGAGCAGAACGAAGACCGGGTTTCCGAGGCGAAGACCTGCAAATCCTGCGATCAATATAGGAGACGGAAACTCCGCCTCATCGGTATGTTGTCCACCCACTCCGTATCAGGGTAATGATCCCGGAGGTAATGGTCGCCAATGTTTTAGTGCCACCCGGACAACGGCTCCAATGCACTCACTGTATTGTAAGCTTTTAATCATTCGAATATATCATATCGGCCACCAATCTCTAACTCGGCACTCTATGGCTCATCTAATAATACCTGCCATTTTACCCAAACCAAGTGTATTCCCCAGGCGACGCGGAAGATAAGGAAAGATGGCGTGGAAGGTACACGTAAGTATACGCAACAAGGAAACCTTATTGCAAGTAACGGTCAAGATCCTAAACCCGCATTTATATAGGTGTGACGCCCAGTCAGCAACACTTACCGCTCTTAGAGCCCGCAAGCGGGCGAATTTGCAGCCAACTAACCGTCCCACCGGTGATACTGGACCAGATGTTGGAAAAGCAGGGTCGTAGTGGGTTGTTTCGGGATATCTTTGCCTTGCTGAGGGTCAGTTGCGACGTCTCATCGTCGATCTGAACCTGACCAAGCACGGTCCCTAGGTGCACGACCATGACGGTAATGTCATGTCCTATAAAACAAACCCATCTTCTGACAGTTCGTTGCATATCAATCATGAGTTGTAGCCTAGCCTATTTTCTGAGAGTCGAATCCACTCCTTGTCTGAGTGACTAGGGAACAACCGGCTCAATGAGCTGGTTGAGACTAAAATCAGTCATCCGATCGCGGGTTCTCACCAAAGGCCCATCTTCGATGTCGCTCATTATGTTAAGAAAGCCGTCTGACATCGAGCAAATCCCACTAGACAAGGTCAGGCTATATATCAACTGTAAGTGAAATCCTTGACAGAGAGGAGAAGTAGGAGGTAGAATATATCTTAGTAGAAAAGTATAACCAAGATAGGGAAATGCTATACCTAGTCCAATAGACAGGATATATACCTGCAGATGGTAGACTAATTGGCCACTATTTCCGCAGTATCCCTTTTGGTAAACCCTAACCACAGCCTATGGCCAATCTCAAAGATATGGAATACGGTATCTCCAGCCGTGTGCAGACGGAATGGTCCAATACCAAAGTGAGTTGAGGGCTTTCAATGCTGAATCATCTCCTAAACAGATCGGCAGACAGCTATAAAAGGCTAGTTAATATCTCGATCAATCCAGTCATCTTCCACTACAACCTCAACTGTTTAATTTCAGTCGAACTAACCATACGGATGCAGTTCAGCATTGCCCTTGCCACCACCGCTGCCGCCAGCACTACTTTCAGCATGGTTGCTGTCCACTCTAGCAGCGAAATCCAGTACGCCAGTTTCAACGCTGCCAAGAGCAGTATCTACGCCAGTCTCTCCAAACAGGGAGCCAGCTGCGCCCGCCCTAAGGCAAGACTATGTTGGAATCGTTGCGCACGTTGTTGAGACATCCGACCCCAACGGCTGCCTTTACACAGAATAAAAGACATGGCTGTTGCTGGCATATGGCTGGTCGCTTGATGGTAGATTTATTGAACTGAAATGAAGAGTCTAGCAGGGTAGTAGTCAGGTTGCTTAGATTGAGTCTAGAGTTCATTTGATGTATGCTAGTGTTATTACCTGTGGCTACTCTCGTTAAATTAGTCACGGGCCCTTAAAATTAAAGGTTACATACGTCCAGTGAACTACTTTCAAGTTATATATAGGTTGAGAAAGGATAAGATGTCCCTAGTAGAACTTACTCTCTGTTGTATGGGCAATCCTCTTGTCTGCCTGGCTTTCGGCTCTTGATAATCCGTGAGAGACTGTAACAGGTTTTCCCGTCTTTTTGAGTTCTTGATTAAAGTTGTGAATACTATACTTACTGCTTTACTGATTTATCCCTCCTGTCCTAACTCTATCTATTATAACCCTGAAGCTTCCATTGCAGGACCGATTGTCAGTATGGTAGATAATACATCGTCTACCAATACTCAAGAACAACAAAGCCCACCGCTTAGAGAGCTCAAAAGCCCAACCGACCTACCCCAGCTGAGAAGCGAAGGCAAAATCCTTACACCTCAAGAACTAAAAGAAATAAATGCTCGTCTCAAAGCGCCTGAAGAAAGGGCTGAACTAGAAGACAGAGTGTGTGCTCTCAAGATTACGAACAGTCACGGGTACAAGGACAAAAAAGCTTAGCAAGCAACGCTGACGAGCCTTTACCACCTCTGATTACTTTTATTCTAGCACCAATTGATTGATTGATTGATTCATACACGCATCTGTCAGCCCTAACGGCCGATAAACTCATCTAAGAAGTTGGAGACACAGTCTACATACTAAAAACTTAATAATAACTCAACCATGCTTGATTAACCATAAGCATTACTTAATATGAAATCTTTGTGTATCTAACGAGAATGGTCTATTTCTAGCGATATTATTTAAACAGAAAGTATTAACTTAGTACCCCCAGTGATGAAAAAAAGGAATTTAGCTGTATTGTTATGGAAGAGAGAAACATGATTGGTGCAAGATAGTTGTCGATTGGTGAGTGCGGGTAGCAGTGGGAAGACATGAAATACCGCTGGTTAATGAGGTTGAAAATAGGATGGGTAGTCAGTTACGTGTCGCTACAAGGCAGTCACACGTAGGCCCAATCATCTGGACATATCTGTATACTACCAAAGCAAACATAAGTACTGTAGGGAAGTTGATAATATAAATTAGACCAGGAGAAAAGAACTACAACAACAAGCTATATACTAATATCTGCTACCTATCATAGAAACAGGGCCCCAAGATGAATAACAAGGCCTTGTATATTATAGTAAAAGCGCGTCGAAAGCAGTAGCGGTTTGGTGAGGTTATACAAACCTAACCAATAAAAGGTTGAAGGAAGTGCTAGTGAAAACAGGTAGGCCAGCAATGCAAGACGAAGCGAATAAAACAAAAGGGAGGGAACAAAAATATATAAGCCGGATAGTTATATTCTACAAAAGCAGGCCGACTATGATAACAACCAAGTCCAAGAAGGGAATGTCCTAAACCGCAATCAGAGGGGCGCGTGGAGAGCGTGGAGGGAAAGGCATGGCAAGATTTTGGTGAGGTTGTTGCGTAGCATGCGCTCAAAGAAAATAAAAGAATGGAGATTTACTTGGCGGTCTTGCATGAGTCCCAATATGCCTGCCTGGTATACCAAGAGCCCCTGTACAGATCAAACACGAAGTTTTCCATGGCTCACTCTAGGTTACCGGACCCAGAGTCCCCAAGTCCCTCACGCTCACGTTTACCAAACAGACATGTGAGCAGATCCACTGCTCGAGAAGCCCTCGGTAGAAAGAATCTGGTAGTCGTGAGCACCTAGCTTCATTCCATGAGAAGCCCAAGCATTGAAGTGGTTGGCAGTGGTAACGGTTCCATCCGAGCGTTTGTTGCGGCGGATAGACCAGTACTGCATAAAGGTGGTCTTGCCAGCAATAGAGGGTTGGTTAACCTGCTGGTGGGTGTAGATATCATAGACTGATCCATCACTAGTAAAAGATCCCTTATAGGTCATGCTAGGGCCGGGATTGTAGGTTCCGTAGTTCTCCAAGATATAGTATTCGACAAGTGGGCCCTTAGTCCAGCCATACACGGCAAGATAGGCATTTCCAGAGGGTCTGAAATCTCCAGCAAAGTGGATGTTGCTAATTAAATGTCAATAATTTGTTAGAGCGCTAGGTGAATAGATCTTACCGGGCACTGCCAGTCCTCCAGCCCTTGCCAGATGTGAAATCGCCGCAGTTCTCCCAAGACACACTGTATTCACCATTCTTTTCATTGTTATACTGGACAGTACCACCATTATTAGTCCAGAAGGAGAAGTAATAGCCATTGTTTTCTCCAGTCTGGCTTGTAGTGATAGCTCGCTTGGTCACGTTGATATCAGTGGGAGCTGCGAAGGCGCTTGTGAGAGCACAAGCGGCCAAGAAGAGACCTGAGAAGGTAACCATATTGAAGAAATAACTGAGTAACTTTAAAGGAGTGACTGAGTAACTTTAAGGAATGACTGTAGTTAGAAAAGAGTCTCTCTATGGGAAAAGTGACCCTTTTATAGTATTGTCTGATGCAAGTGGGGTGCCCGTTCCTGCAGTATCACAAATTCTAGATATCTTTCTTTAATTTTAAGTATTATTAAAAGAACCCATATTTCCCTGAACCCAATCTCACCAAGTTAACCCCGTTTGGGCCTAGCATGGTAGTGCTGGGAGCATTGTTAGTGATACAATCAGGAAAATAATCCAATAAGAAACAGTGACATGTTTTCACTAGCAGTTTACATAGTTAATGCTCAGACTGTTTATTATGGGCGGTCTACAGGGCACAAGGCTTCCGAGCATTATTTAGAATCTCCAAGAAATGCATGCATTGCTATCATGTGCGGGAGACATTCTATTTTACGACAGTCATGTTATGGTTAGAGGAGTGGGCAAGGCGTTCATGGAAGGAAAATGGAAATCCTTCCTTTGATACCCTTCACTCAATGTTCACCCGGCGATTTAATTTATTTCAAACCGCCCGGTTCCATAGCGCCAGGCAACGACTTTTTCCTTCCAATTTCCAGTCTACGCTCATCAAGTGCACCGGTGTGGGAATGATTTCCATTTATCCGGCTAGGCCAAAGCTATCACCAAGTATAGTAAAAGAAGGCGAGCCGGCTAGTCATCTCAGACAAATGTGAATACAGACACATGCATCACTTGGAATGTGGGGGAGCTCTTGGCGGTTGTAGGTATTGGGCACGTTCAAAGCACGGGGCAATATATGTTTTGCCTTATACAAAATATGTCGGTTGGCTCAGGCAAAACAAATTTGATTTCTGCTAAAGTCTCCAAAACGAGCAGACGCATATTTCCACTCGGTGTCTGACCCCAGCAACGCCTTAGTCTCCCCAGTATCGAATCAGCTTCCGGTAAGCTTAGTGATGGTGAGCGCGAATATTTGGTAACCGAAAGACCCCTAAGGTGCCCCAATTTCCACGTCTTTCGGGAAAATGTTCGTGCTTGGCTTGAATTTTACTCTTAGACACTGCTTGTATTTATATTCTCCATCTTGAAGTGTAAATATGTTTATTGTGTCGTGCAGGGCAAAAGTTTATTTTTCTATAAACCAAGGTTTGCTTCTCTAGATAGGAGTAAACTACTAAAACAAGAGAATATATCTACTAGAGCATGCCCCTTTATATTACAGTACTTGTTTATTTTCTCTTCAATACCTTCTTCCTATAGACAGATTTTGTCGGACCGAGCAGAAGAAAATTGATACATTATCCTCCAATAAAGTTATATCATTTTACATGTTTTCCGCATGTTTTCTGCTGCCATGACTATTATTCACTTTTCTCTGATCAATTTTCTAAAAAGAGCGAAATTTTCTAGGATCATACGGTTGATTAGGCGAGGTTTTTAGCGCAAACTTAGCTTGCGATATGGGCCCCGGCTACCGAGCCTGATCAGTGTTCAATGTGGGTATTGTTTATTTCACGGTTGTTAACATTTTACGTGGTAGAACCTTGTATATGCAAAGCAGGTGGTGTTAGTTGAACTACAGGCCAGTCGAACCTGGAACTATCCATTTGCGTCTCTCGATTAATAGCATGTTATTCGACCCTGGACTGAATAAAAGAAAAGGAAATAGAGGGATGAAACGGTTAAAATCGTACAGCTTTATCCGGGATCTGTTTTTTTTTTTTGGCTAAATAGAGGAGGTCATCGCCTATTGAAACAAGGCTTGATTCCTGAGTTATACTACTTCCAGTAAAGAGTGGGCTGTTGCTTTGCGGCAGGATTTCCAGGATTCAGTACCGTGGTACGGCGGACTGAGGTGGCCAAATGGCTAAAACTAGATTTCTTTATATTGCCGGCAGAATTAAATGACTAACTCACCCCCTGGATCTAGGCTATCTCAAGTGGCTTGCTTAGTTTCACCTTCTGGCTACTAGTCCTAGGCTTAGGTGCCATACACAGGGTCCGTATGGTTAGATATGCTGGTGCTGGCGCATATAAACATAACTGAAAAAATTACTTCAAAGAATAATCGGGTTCTGTATTATCTCTCCCTTCTCTGGGCCTAAGTTAATTGAATTCCCAGTATTCTCTTTAACTGGATCTAAGTTAATTGGAGCTTCTAGCAGTGTCCCTGGCTAATCACTCCCATTACCTGGTACAGGCGCAGGTAGACTCCGTCTATTATCTTGCCACAGCTTATCATGTACAGAGTACTGACTGGCTCAGTCAGGCTATCTACAGTTAGCACATGCTCTGCTAAAGACACCTGGCACATAATAATATTCAGGAAATAGATATCTACTCTATACAGTGCAGCAACATGTACAAGGCTCAGCCAACTTTATTCTATATAACTGAATAAGTAAAGTATTAATATAAGAGAACCGGTGTTACTTTATTTACTGTGGTATTATACTGCCGTGTACAAAAGTTATAGATATATCATTATATACTAATAACGTATTTCACCACCGAGTCGGCCACACCACCGAGTCGGCCACCGTTTACCAATTCCTGCCCGCGGGCTAAATATGAGGGCCTTTATCAACCAAACAATTGCATTTCTAAATGAAAACTAATTACTAAGTGGATTAGGATATCTAACCCTAGTATGCCCTTGAATATGACAATTAGAACACGTTGGGGGGGCTCGTACGCGCGGCCCAACTGCAGAAAGTGCAGGATCTATAGAAAGTGTATCTTGAGCTTTATCAACCTCATTCTCGCGCTGGAATTGCTCTAGGCTATCCTGAACAGCTATCCCCTCTGCAATAGCTAGCTGTCTAGTAGATTACTTTTGCTTTTAGCCATTCTATTTATTATTAGCGCAATGTTTGTGTATTTCTTCCTGTACAAGAATAAGCTCATTAAGTGTTAATTCATGACCTTTAATAATCTTATCTAATCACTTTTCTAGTGAAGATGAAGGGCTTTGATTATAGTTCCTGAGTAGTTTTCTTGCTACAGATGCTTGCTTCTCCAGCTGCCTAGTAGTATAAGACGTTTTAGGTGCTGAATTAGTTGACTGACTGCCTGGTAGTGTAGGGGTCTTTAGTTGGATGTCTAACTTGCTAAACACTCTATCAGGATCAAATGGAACAAGACCAGTGCCTGTAAAGCTATTCTGAATATTCTCTGCTATAAAAGCACTTTTGTGAGCCTCTGTAAAGATCTTTAAGAAATCAAGCTTATTAATATGATTGATTCCAAGACATGCTCTCTACTCTACTAAGCTTCTATATATACCTTTTAAAGAGCGAAAACAGCCTATATCTAAAGGCTGGAGCTTATTAGAAGAATGTGCAGGCATGTAGATAGGAATAATATTATTCTCACTGCATATCTGATCAAATTGAGGTATAAGATGGCTACTATAGCTATCAAGAACCAGAAGGCGGTATTTCCCAGTTGTACGGCTAGTAGTAGCAGGAATAAAGAGATTTTTAAGCCAGCGAAGGCCTATCTCATTAGTAGTCCATCCATTAGGACTAACTTCAATTCTGCTATTAGGTAGGAGCTTTGTATCTTGATACCAACCTTCTATATGGATCTTTCCTTTAAAGATAATACATAGTGGAAGTACCCAACCAGTAGAGTTGATATGTTTGATTGAAGTAATCCATTCCTGATTGCCTGGCTGCACAAGAAGTGCTTTTCTATAGTAATCAGCTCTAGTAACTACTTGTGCAGTAGCTACTAGGCCCATAGTAAAGCTAGTTTTATCAAAATTATAGATATCTTCCTGCGCGATCCCATATTGTATTATAGTGACTTATACGCGGTCAAACCACTCTCTAATAGCTTTAGGATCTTTGCATTTAGCATGTTAATAATTATAGTGTTGACTATAGCGGGTTTTTAGTTTATCTTGTTGTTTAATAAAGCTAGATACCCAGTTCTTTCTGATAGTGTGAGTAGATATAGTACCGCGTGCAGCAAGAAGAATATTGGCTATTTCTTGTATATAGGACAGCCGGGGAAGTGTTCCACGTCGATCTAGCAATAGAATCCATTGAATAAGTGAATCCTTTTTATTTTAGGTTAATTTATGGCTGTTGGTGCGTGTTTCTACGCGTGAAGTGATTCCATTAAGTTGTTATTAGGGTTATCCAGCACCGATTTTCACCAGTTTTTAGGGTTTGGGGTCCCAGCCCCCCGTCCGCATTAGGAAAGCGCAAACGGGCACCGTGGGAGGACGAGGCCGAGGTCAGCCGGCCATGCGGTTCCGGGGGGTGCAGACCTGGCCATCCGGGCCATCCAGCGGGGGGAGAGCCCCGTTGTTGCGGTGATGCCCACCGGTGGGGGGAAGAGCATGTTGTTCATGGTGCCCGCATTCGCCGGCCCCGGGGGCACCACCATCGTCGTGGTCCCGTTGGTTGCATTACGGGCCGATATGGCTAGGCGATGCCAGGAGCTGGGCATATCATGCGTGCCATGGGAGAGTCGGCGGCCCCCCGATGCCGCATCCATTGTGTTGGTGACCCCCGAATCCGCGGTGAGCCCCGATTTCCAGACGTATTTGAACCGGCTGCGGTGGACCCGGCGGTTTGACCGGATCTTGATCGATGAATGTCATGTGGTGTTGAATCCACAGCGTGATTTCCGGCCCCAGATGGCCCAGCTGGGCGGGTTGGTCCTGGCCCGCACCCAGATGGTATGGTTGACCACCACGTTGCTCCCGAGCATGGAGGAGGAATTATGCCGGCGGATGAAGCATCACTGGGCTGCTGTGACCATATACCGGGCCCGGACCAGCCGGCCGAACGTGGCATACCAGGTGTGGCGGCCGCCGATCGCCGCGGTCGGCCGGGAGCCATCTAACGCCTGGTTTTGATTAAGCCTGCAAGAATAATGATATTACCGCTATCTGTATGCCTGCTCATTCTTCTCATCTCTTACAGCCACTAGATGTTGGTTGTTTTGGCCCTTTGAAGCGTGCTTATGGAGGAAAAAGATGCGCTTATGAAACAACCATATTGATAAGTTTGATTTCCTTAGAGCATATCCAACAGCTCATCTAGAGGTTTTTAAGCCTCTAAATATCCAAAATAGCTTTGCGGCAGCTGGAATCTACCCACTTGAGCCAAAGAGGGTCCTTGAAAAGCTGAATATCCATGTATCAACCCCTACCCCTCCTCCAAGCCGTGCAAGTCAATCAAGCAGCTCATCATGGCTTGCTACATCTCATACATTTCAGCAAGCAAGCATCTTCTGTCAAGAAGCTTCTAAATCAACCATCTCAAAGCCCTTTGACGCCTTCAAAATTGGCTATACAGCAGCTTATCAAGGGTTGTAAGATGGCTACGCACAGTGCAGCCCTACTGATGGAAAACCATGATCTATGTGCAGCCAATGAGAAGGAAAAGCAGAAAAGGAAGCGATCTAGACGTCAGATAACTCCTAATGGACGACTCTGTGTACAGGAGGCAATAGAGATCTCATCCAGGCGAGAGATGAGCACGGGAATCAGGTTCGGGGGTCATCTGTCAATTCCGCGCGTTTACTAGAACCCCTAAAACGCGCTCCACCAAGGTGTTCCAATTGCTTTATTGTAGGGCATACCAGAGTTAGATGCCCTACACGTAATACTAGCGAGGTGTATTGGGAAAATATATTGTTTTGGTTGGTTTGGGTAGCTTCAAAAGTACGAACGCGTTGAAATTGGATGGGAGATGGCAACTCGGGTCGGGAATTACGTTATATACTTTGGCTAGTTAATTATCTGCTTATAGATCCTGATCTGTTGTGATCTCAGGGGAAAGATGGGCAGGATGAGGCTGTATCAGCTACACGTACGTAGCCTACTGAGGACCGGATGCCATTCCAATAGATACTCAATTCTATGGACGACTATATCAACTATCTTGACTGCTTCTTCTTCCTCTATCACTGATGGGTAAAAAGCCTTCAGGGGTTGGGAGCCGGCGATCCGGCCAAGCCACTAGGATCACGTGGTCTCGTATAGATTCATAACATGATCAAAGTAGAAGCATCATAAAGGCATCATCATCCGCTTGCGGACCCTACTTAAACTAAGCGCATCATTCATCACCTGTGGCGGCCTTACGGTATCTCGATGACTTTATAACTCAGTGTCTTATATATAATTGTTTTGCAGGCAATAAATAAGAACCCTTACTTCTCACTTACAAGAGAGAACTCTATTAGTCGCCTTAACAGCCTCAAGATGCTTTGAGGCTGTAAGTTCTGTGCACTGGTAAATCCCAGTTTAATAGCTACACTTCTAGGGGTTTTCTTATTAATGACGTTACTAGACCTAGTACCTCTAATTACTCTTCTCTCCTGCTACTTATTTATCGGGACGCAACGTATCCGTTATATAAGCTAAACTAGCTACTCTTTATCTTCTAATCCACATTAAGTCCTTTGGATTAAGAGCTTCTGTGAACCTGTTCCAGAGATACACTTAGTGGAATGCGAACAAGCGTCTGATGGACACTAAGTGTTCTTTTTATGATGGGTACTGCTGACGTATATGATTATATTATTTGCGGGTGAGTTTGAAACCCTCAAAATGGACAGCAACGTCACTGATTCTACCAGAGGAGGCACCACCGGTTGTGTCGTCGCGGGTCGGTTGGCGGAGGATCCCAACGTCCGGATTCTGGTTATTGAAGCAGGTCAGCATAACAAGGATCTGGAAAATGTGCATATGACGGGAGGGTAAGTCACCAATTCCTTGGGTTGTGTCATCCTAACAGTAGCAGATGGTCGAATAATTTCGACTCGGAGACGGACTGGAACATCGTCACGCCGTCGATGAAGGGGATCGATAATCGACAGGTTAAGCTAAGTCGTGGGCGGTTTTTAGGTGGTTGCTCAGGCTGCAATGGCACTCTGTGCGTTCGAGGCAGTCCACAGGACTATGACGACTGGGGTCTTGAAGGATGGAGTGGGAAGGAGGTGTTCGCGGCTATGAGAAAGGTTTACAGGCCTACTCTGCATCGTGTAGTCCACAGTAACTGATCCTTAACAGTCAGAGACCTTCCATCCGGGGGACTGGCACCAAGGCGATGTAAACAGTCACGGATACTCGGGTCCCTTACATACCGAACCGCATAATCTGGCGCCCATCGCTAACCTGTTCTTGGATTCCTTCGTCTCGCAGGGCCTTCCGCTATACCATGATATGTTCAGCACGGGGGAGGTACCTCATGGATGTGGCCATGTTGCGCGGACGGTGTATAAAGGGATCCGGTCGACGTCTGCCGATTTCATAACCAAGGAGTACCATCGGGAAAATATCACCATCCTCACTGATACTACTGTCGATCGCGTAATTCTCGAGCAGCGTGCCGATGGTTTACGGGCGATAGGCGCAGTAGGTGTGTCCTCGGACGGCACGTCTCGGACCTTCAATGCAAAGAGGGAGGTGATTGTCTCAGGAGGCGCCTACTGCAGTCCGGCTATTCTTATGCGGTCTGGTATAGGAGCACGTCAGGAGCTCAATAACCGTGGGATTCCATGCGACGTTGACTTACCAGGTGTGGGAAAGAACCTGATGGATCATCTGGTATGTCATACCTTGGAGTTATCGTGAGCATGCTAATGCGACTAGATCGTGTTTATGTTCTACGAGACCGAAAAGCCCGGATTAACAACAGACCATCATGTCTACCACGACGACAACTTCAACAAGTCCTATGCGCAATGGAAGGAAAATAAGTCCGGTTTCTTGTCTACTTTCCCCTTCGGCTCCTGCGCCTTCGCGCGACTCGAGGACCGGCTTAAAAACGAACCCTTGTGGAAGAACGCCCCGCGAGAACCCGGACGAGATCCGATGGGCTTGACGCCCAAACAACCGAACGTTGAATTCATCAGCACAGAATGCTACGGCGGGCCGAAGCACTTCGACCAGTTCCCGATCAACCACCAGTACGCTTTCTCGATAGTCGCAGAACTTTTTGCCCCGAAGTCTCGCGGGACTGTGACATTAAGGTCGAAAAATCCCATGGAGAACCCGGTCGTAGACTGCAATTATCTGGCCGACCCTATGGACCTGCTGATTCTCTCAGAGGCGTGTCGATTTGGCAACGAGATTGTGATGCAGGGCGAGGGCACGAAGGGCATTGTGAAAGGGTCATGGCCTCCGAATCTGTCGCATCATACGTACAAGACGCGCGAGGAATGGGTCCCCTACGTCAAGCAGAATGCCACAACCTGTAAGTTCGGTCTTTGTTGACAGGGATAATGTACTGATGACAACAGGTTACCATGCATCTGGGACGTGTGCAATGGGAAACAACGACAACCCTATGGCGGTTCTGGACAACAAACTCCGCGTCAAAAGGGTTGCAGGTCTGCGGGTAGCAGACACGAGTGTGATGCCAGTGCTTTGCGGCGGACATACGCAGATGGTGGCGTACGGGATTGGGGAGCGCTGTGCAGATTTTATCAAGGAAACATGGACAGGAAGTAAAAGCGAGTGTATGAGCAGGGAGGATAGGCAGGGGAGGCTTTTCACCCGGGCACGTCCCTAGGAGGCTGTGTTGCCAGAATTGTGATATCTATGCTTTACTGTACGTTCATAGTAGGCAGAGATGCCTTGCTGTGAAGGCTGAGAAGGCCCACTGTCCTCGACACGTCGACCAGGAAACTGTCTGACGGTTGTTGAATGGACAGGTCTCATCGCAGGCCCTGACCGACTCAACCTGTTGATTCAGTACCATTTTGTGGATCAAGGAGAGTAAAAATTGTCGAATTGAATAGTTACAAGAAAATACTCGGGTATCTTCTCAGCAAACACATTGTCCTTCGAATTTCGTAGGTGCTCTCTTTTGAAGGCTGGGCATTTCTCAGCTCTGGAAATTCTCTATCGGCCCTACTTTAGTATTGTTTCTTTATTGTACGCGGCATTCCTCGCGCTAACAGAGGGGAAATTTCACAAAGCACGATATTCACTCTGCCACCCGAGTAAGACGAGATCTCGATCAACATACAATTGCCCGGGCAAGATGGAATGACTATGGATCAGATTATCAGCAAACGCCCGCCGTTATCCCCGTTACTCTTAACCGCATCAGCCTTCCGACTACAGATATGATGGTTTGCGCTTGCTAGGATATCGCACAACGGTATGTAGCTGTAGAGCTTTGAATGGGTATGGGTCCGGTGGCGGAACGAGAGTCAATCCAGCAGCTAGCGCGTGACGGAATATGCCAGCCAGAATTACTGTTTTCGATAAGGGATTGCCGAATTCTATGGCATTCAGATTTGAACAGTCAGATTACAAGAAATATACTACATACGATTCAACTCGCCGATTAGAATCTGATTTGTTTGTATGACTTCCGATTTCGCTTTTCCCGTCTATATTGTCTAGTATGAGATTGCTAATTACAGCTCAGAGAGCCGCAGGTAGTAGGGGAATAGCGTGCTACGGCGCCGCAGGTGGCAGGAGCAGAGGACTGGGTTTCTATTGAACGATCTACTACCATACACAGAGGTTGATCACTGGTTTCTGAAGCTATTGGGGTGCGGTAAGGATTTTACCGCAGGCGCTGTAAGGTGCACGCAACACCTTGCCCCGCTGAATATGAAAGAAGTCGCTGCTTTTGAATTATTGCAGAGATCTGATCAAGATTTGAAAAGGCTGCGTGTATTTGAGCAGCATATCAGCGAAGGCAAGTTTAGTCAATACAACCGGTATCATTGGAAATCAACATTTCCAAAAGGGGAAGTGATAAGGCGTTGTTAAGTAGCCATCACAGAGACTGACATCAGTACCTTTTAGGGAGGGATCTGGGAGAGGGGAGAGGAATGCTGAGGAGTCGGGCTCAGGGTCGGAGCTGAAGAGGGCAGAAATGACGAAGGGATATGGCACCCTTAACTTCGAGATCACTAATCTCCATAACTTTGAGGTTACTAATCTCCATCACTCCGAGATCACTAATCTCCACAACTTCGAGATTACTAATCTCCATAACTTCGACATCACTAATTGTGGTTTTTTGGGGCCATCTGGCGGAGGATACGACTGCTACTCGCAACCGAACAAGCCAACCCCCCAACAAAAAACCTTCAAAGTGGGGAGATGCGGACGCAGGTGCAGGCTTTCGCTTGCTCTCATTGGGTGCTTGCATGGGCTTAATTAGCGGTCGCTTCGAATGAAAGTCAAACAGGCCAGGTTATATCGAAAAGTGGTTTGAGATACTTCGGCCGTTCTTAACCGATCGTTGAGTTGCGAGCCCGGAGTCCTCAACAAATCGTTCGGAGCTTTGGAATGGTTTAAAATCGCTGGAGTCCCCCAATATGAAGTCACAGAATCAGTCAGATATAGCATTATCTTCTCCTACTTCTACGAATCTTGAGATTTACGACGCAGTAGTAACCCGCCTGCGACGAATCATACAGCACACTTCATACAGCACGATGGGCTCTACCTCACCACCCCGCGAGAGCAGCAAGCTCTTCTCGCCACTCCGTCTCGGAACAATGAATCTCGAACATCGGGTCATCATGTCGCCAATGACGCGCCTGCGCTGTCCTGGTAGTGTGCCGACTCCGCTCGTCACTGAGTATTATACTCAGAGGGCGACGAAGGGAGGGCTGCTTATCACTGAAGGCATGCACCCGAGTTTGATGGTTTGTCATTCCCACTGTCCCGAACGTGTAATCCAATTAGGAAACATCGTCTTGCGATAGATAGGGAAGCATGAAGGCTGATAGTGGCGCAGGCTGGAGGGTTCTACGGCGTACCAGGCATGTTTGCGCCTGAGCATGTGAGGGCTGTATGTGCAGATCCCCAGCTACTCCCTCTATTTCTCGGGAGGATTTTACCATGAGTCATGTCTGTTGATAGAACTCCCGGGATCGTACTTCAGCTTTTCGTTGTTTAAGGAGATCCGTGCTAATTATGCTGTAGTGGAAGAAGGTGACGGATGCTGTGCATGCCAAGGGTGCATTCATGGCGTGTCAATTGTGGCATGTGAGTTCCACCCAGTGATTATCTCAAGCTTCAGATGCTGATCTGAGATTGCATCAGGTTGGGCGATTTGCAGTCTCGTTCTCGCTCGGCGACCGCCAGCCATTGAGCTCTTCCGCAACCAACATTGGATATTTCAACAGAAACACGCGCGGAGGCGTCAAATATCCTCATGAGACAGCCAAGCCGATGACATTGCAGGATATCAAGGACACAGTTGATGACCATGTGCATGCTGCGAAATGCGCGATCGAGGCCGGGTTTGATTGTGTCGAGATTGTAGGTAACGGTCTCCCTGTGGAAAATAGGATCGGAAGCTGATGAACGAAGGCGTCAGGCAATGGATATCTGCTCGACCAATTCCTCAATACTAACACCAACCTTCGTACCGATGATTACGGAGGCAACAAAGAGAACCGAGCTCGGCTCACGCTCGAAATCCTCGATGCGGTAATCGCCGCTATCGGGGCATCCAGGGTATCAATCCGAATGAGCCCATGGGGCACAGTTTGGTTGCCATTAGATACGGATCCTATAGCGAACTTCCGGTATGCGCTGAGCGAAGTGGAGAAGCGAGGAGTCGCATATGTATGCCTTACTCAGCCGCGAGCCGATCTTCTACTCGAAGAGAAGACTAAGATAAAAAATATCTACGCAGCTATCAACGAAGGGAAAGTGGCTGCTACGATCGAGGATGTCCATCTCAGGCACTTCTTGGAGGTGCTGAAGACAACACCGGTATTGGTAAACGGGAATTATAATGGCGAGAATTGCTTCGAAGAGGTAGAAAAAGGTGAGGTAGATGCGATTACGTTTGGGAGGTGGTTTATCAGTAACCCGGATCTGGTGGAGAAGCTTAGGCTACGGAAGAGACTGACCAAGTGGAATATGGAGACGGTTTATGCTGGTATGGTTGAGGCTGGGCGTGAGAGTGAGGGGTATACAGATTATCCTTTTGGAGAAGTTGAAGAAGAGGAGACAGCGAAATGAAAGGTTGCTGTCCATCGCTTCTCTGCTTGGATGGTGAAATTAAGTAGAAGGTTGGACTTACGTAATTTGAAGTGACATAGTTTCTATAAATTTCCTTGAGTCAAGGGACATGTTTTGCTCGGCCCTATTATCTCTCCTGCTGTATTGAAAGGAAGTTATATAGAGTGATATAGTATTGTCAGACATAAGACAATGGCCTATGTCCAAAAGCCTCAGCTACCTGTAGAGCGGCGGCAGCACATAGAACCCTTAAGAGAGCCCATGCCCCAGCTTTTGTCACCTGCGAGTCAAGGATATGTTGGATATCCTGCCTGAAATGATCTTGTCCTTGATTATCAACTGCCTGCTGCCTGACATGCGTACTGTGCGGTCCTACTGTATTCTACGTCGAAGAATTTCAAGAATATAGGGTAGCACTTCAGCCAAAGCTTGATGGGCTAGTGCAGCTGAGCAAGCAATTCCAAGGGAAGGACTAAATGAAGTACTTCAAGTGACTATATATGGTAGGTCTTCCCCACTTGGACCATCATTGTCGTCTCCTCTACTATGATCACAAAAGATTCTAAAATTGGATAATGCAGTGGGGATTCTGGTGACAGTTATTTGATAGATCTTGGTGGTTCTTATTTTCATGCAAGTCATGGTTTGGTTTGCTTAGTTTAGATGCGGTATTATGATGTTCTTTATGTTGTTAGACAAAACTGTGAACAAGCACACAAGACAGGCGGGCACTAGAACAGACTTCTATGCAGCCAGAATACTGAATAGCATGATTACCATTATATCACATTCTTTTGATTCCATTACACTTTTATGAGAGTTTTCTTTCCTTCATTTTATACCTTATTACTCGAACGCAGCATTGCAATCCGCCACTGGTTACCCACTCCTCTCTGTCTTTTGCTTCCCGTTCATCGTCGGTCTGATGCGTGGGGTTTGACGATCATGCCGGCAGCTTCACTGTTGGTAGATCTCTATCTAGATGCTCTATTCCTGCATTTCTCTCTCATGCTTCGACCTGCCTGTGTTGATCAGGCTGCCTTGAGCTTTCCTACTTTAATATGTATGGCCATTATCAAAGTTACTGCAGGTCGAGGCGCTAGTTCTGGAACACCTACCTACTTTTATTCTGTTGTGATCTCAGGGGAAAGATGGGCAGGATGATGCTGTATCAGCTACACGTACGTAGCCTACTGAGGACCGGATGCCATTCCGATAGATACTCAATTCTATGGACGACTGTATCAACTATCTTGAGCGCTTCTTCTGCTCTCTCAACTACTAATAGGTAAAGCCTTCAGGGGGATTGGATTGGATTGGATACTATTTAACGTCACTCGGCGGTTCACGCGGCAACGTGATCCGCGGCCTCCCTAGGGGCAACTGGACATGCTACCTAAACAGAAATCTCACTAGGAACTAGCTAAATACATGCTTAAAGCAACAAATCTGAACAATATATGTTGGATAAGGGTAGAAGAAGTGCCTGGCACTATCCTGGCCTGGTCTTCTAGAGATGGGAACCTGCTTCAGCTATCTATAGATAGAAGGGGATGCTGTCTGTCTCTATATAGATAGAAGTATAGACTGTTGCAATAGCTAGTGCTTGAGCGGGCCCAGTTCAGGCATATATCCTTGAAGAAGAATGAGTCTTGCATATAGCTGAATTCTTCAGTCCCGGCAGCTGTATAAAGGAGCCAGTTAATTGTCTCTGACAGGCCTGCCTTTCAGTACTTCTATCTGTCCCTCCAGCGCTTCCTGGTATATGGACAGAAGAA